TACTTTTAAGAGATATTATATATTAAAACACGATAAATTTTAAAGTTTTTTTATAGTTCGCTTAAACTCTATAGCATTTTTGCGTATATGATAGGTAGTAAAAAGAATTCTTGGCTTGTTTCTATACGTGTGAGAAACTAAAGACAGTTCCCAATTTTTGAAAAAATGTCAGAAATGTTCTTTAGACAGATCTTAATTTCCGAATTTATTTTTATATCTTTTTAAATAATTTTTTTTTTGCAGAATATTCTTATGTAAGGATCAGTAATGTTTTTCTCGCAATTCTTTTCAAAACTCTATGAAATTGTAGCGTACCACCAATTCTGTGTTCTATATTTATTTGTTTTAACGAAAACTTAAAAATAGCTTCTATTTTTACAACTTTGATTTAAGTTTATATATTCAAACTTTTTTTGGATTTCTTTGATTTCCAAAACAACTGCGACATTTAGTTCAGATTAGGAAATTTATAGCTAATGTATGTTTTTATACTATAGTGGTACACCATTATGTATGCGTTATTAAGAGGGCAGGAATAAATTTTGTTAACATAAAGATTAAATTCTCATTCGGCATATGGTATAAAAGTAAAGTATGCATAATATAATTGACTTATATTAATTTAAAAAAAAATTAAAATAGTAAAGCAAGCTGAAATTATTTCAGATTCTACATAACTTAAACTGTCAACAAATGGATTGGAGCTATAATTTAATAACGTATTGAATCTAACTCTTAGATTTAAGAAGCAAATGATTATTGATCTATTGAAAAATAATTTAGGCAGCCAAATTATTGATCTTTATTACCTTTATTAGATATGAATGCCCACAAAATTATTTAATTTGATTAGTTTAGATTGTCGTTTTAAGACTTTTTGAGTTTGTAAGAAGGAAGTCGTGAGGGATCAATAATCATTTGAAAAAAGGTATAGCTTAAGAATGTAGATCCACCCGGTCGATTCTGAATCAGTTTATATTGTAAAAATGTACAGTATGTTTAAGTATGTCTTTAATAAAATATCTTAACGTAACAAAAATATTTATAGACGGTAGAAAAAGACATCACAAATTAAATGTAAAATGTATGAAAAACTATCACAGAAAGTATAAAAATGTATATTCCTATATATATATTTCAATATATATACAAACTTAATATAATTTATTTTACGAATTAAAGGATCACTTAACCTCAATATCACGTTTTAATGCTATTACAAATTACTTTAAATAAGATCATCACAAAGTTGAGCGGAAAATCAAAAAATATTAAATAAAAGGTGTTGTGATAAAAGCATTAACATATATGTAATTAGAATATTGCTGGTTTCGTCCTTCTTGGAAGTGACAGAAGGACATTTGGTAGTATGGCAAGACAGTTCATTCCAGGACGTAGATGCAGCGGGTGCTCTTGGCTTTTAAGCGTCAATATATAATCATAAATATAACAATATGTTATTTATTTAAATTTAATATTAAATATGTACATAAACAAGTCTTTGGTCAAAGTAACAAAAAAATAAATTCTAAATTCTGTTACAATTAATAAAATTTAAAGGAAAAACATTGACTTAGAAGCTGCCGAATCTAGGTATAGAAATACTAGCAAATACCACCAAAAACTCGCATAATTTTTATGTTTAAACGTCAAATGTTCGCTAGGATGACAAACTAAACAGGTTTTCAATAATAATAAATATAATAATAATAAATATAAAAATAATAAATGTAATATAATAAATAGTAATAATAGATATTGTTTTCAACCAATAAAAGTCGTAAGATCGTAATTGATTTACACGGCTTAAGCTAATGATAACTTAAATAAAACATAAGAAAGTACAGCTTACCTAAACAAAACAGCACGACATATGTCCATCTATTCTGGTTTCTTTTTTATATGAGTATCTCTTAACTATAAATGTATGTATATCTATCCATTTGTATGTATTCCCTTATAAGAATATTTGCGGTCAGCAGAATGTATCAACAGAAATACAGATGAAATGTGGAATCAAAAATCGATAAATAATTGTCCATATTGACTAAGTTTTTCCATGATCATCTGTTTTACACACTTTAGAGTGTGTATTATTGTCGTTATTGAAGTCTTTATCTGCATATAGCAAATTTTTGTGTACATTAATCTCGTGTTTCCTTAAACGTTCTGCTGTCCTAAATCTCCAAGCACAGTAACTGCAGTTGAAGCCCAATTTTTTGCAAGTACCACGCTTTAGATGTGCGTCATAAACACTTTTAATACGAAATTTACTTTCACAGCAAGGACATGAATATTTCAAAGTGGAATGGGAATTTCGCATGTGCGACTGTAAGGAACTGTAGAGTGCAAAATCGACTTGACATATTTTACAGGCATGCGGTCGCTGTGCAGCATGTACTACCTTCTTATGCATACGTATGCTATTCTTTGAGAAATTCTTATTACAAAATTCGCAACGAACTGATTGTATTGCTTTACGAGATGCTTTTGGCAAATGGGTACGTTGATGATAACGCAGGGTACTGGACTTGTTGAAACCAGCACCACATTCAGAGCATAGAAAATTCAAATATTTCGGCAGTTGCTTATGTTTTAGTTCTATGTGTTCCTGTAAGTACCGATGTTCTAGGAAGTCCTTATCCTCACATTGTGTGCATTTAAAAATACGTGCATTCATAATTTTGTGTATTTCCTCCAAATGTTTGCGGTAATATGTAGCGAAGCACGTAAAATAACTGCAGTGCGTACATCGAAAATAAAATTCTTTATTAGCATTGACTCTTCGTATATATTTTCGTCTATTGGTTTTTTTATTACTAGGGTCAAATGAACAGGTATTGTTGATCGGCGCTTCTGAGTAAATATCTGAGTTTAGATTAGTCACATTTTTCTCTGAAGTGTACTCAACTCTTTTGTGATTACTTAATACAGTTTCCTCAATATTATTCTCCAACAATTCTACTTTTATTGTATTAAATTCGTCAGCATTTTTGCAGCTGTTTTTGCACTTCATTATTATATTCGCAGCATCAATAATTGCCTTATAACATCCAGTACAGATTTTTGCATTTGGCTCGAATTTTTCGACAATCTATATAAATACAATATCATATATACTTTTCAATCATTAAATTAAGTATGTAATGTAATTACACTCGCTCCACTTATTTCCTCTATTATTTTTGTTAAGCATTTGGGCTGCTTAAAATGAGGCACTTTAGTGTATAAAGAACACAAGTCCTCTCTATGCGTTAAACAAATCCGACAATTTTGTTCGTACTTTAACATTTTATCAAAAATAAGTAAAGAACAAATTAAACCAAGTATAATTTTAAATAAAAAAGCTTTTGTTTATCTGACACTTGTTGTCGATAAAGCAAGAGTAGTGATGCCACCCCGGTAAAAATTAAATGTTTATATATTATTACACAATTTACAAGTAGAATTTTTAAATTTTATCCGTTACAAACATTTGTTAAATTAATAACTGCACATTAAAGAAAATGTACAGAAAAAGAAAATTTTTTTCATAGTAATGATTTTTAAATAGTTTCTTAATATAAACGTAATATATGTAACTGCTTATTTAACTGTCATGAAATAGTTTTACACTTTATGCAATATGTTAACACCGTTTAATGATATAAATATATCTAAAAATCAACTTTACATTTTTTTGTTTTTGTTTTGAATAAACTAAAATAGATTCTTATATAATCTAAATTTGCAAAATTTTTTTTTGTTTTTTGTTTTACTTTTTATCTTATGTAAAAAATTATTATGTTAACTTGTTTCAAAATTACTTTATAAATTTTGTTTCATACCTGTTAAAATTTATTTGTTCTGCACCCAGTTTAATATTATGTATTAATTTATCTTTAACAACATAGTTCTTTTTTTTTTTGATTTACTTTTTTAACTTATATAATAAATTATGTTTTACTGTTTTAAAATTACTTTCTAAATTTAGGCAACTGTTAAACAATTGCTTTCTGGATTATATTTATTTTTTCTGCACCCAGTTCAATATTTTCCATCAATTCATCTTTAACAACAAAGTTCATACAGTAATTTATGAAAGCATCGGTGTTATAGAAATAATTTCTACTAAATAGTGACACTATTTCAGGAACTGAATGTTGTCTCCTTTTTTTTTCTATTTTGAATCCATTATTGATATTAAATATTTTTTTATCTATTGTGAAATCTTTTGAAATCTTAAACATCGAACTTAGTTCAATATTTTGGTTACAGTACTGATCCACTTGTTCTTGATAATCGTAACTTCCATAACAACTCAATATATTCCATTTCTCATTTAGAGCACATTTATTAAATGTATTTAATTGAATGTCATTAATTTCTTGATATGCCTTAGAGCTAGTATCAATATGTTTTGTGATAACTTCCGTAGAAGATTTCTGGGGACTTTCATCAAATGGAGGTGAGTTGCAATCAATAACATAATCGGTTAACTTTACTAATCCAAATTTCGTGCCCTTGTTAGCTTTCTTTAAGCCATTGGCATGATGTTTTGATTTAGTCTTCTTAGCAGACTTTTTAAATACGTTTTCAGTTTTATCAATATTATGTTTTTGTGTACTTTTACCGACTGTATCGGAGTTGCTTTTAATAGTACAATCAGCTAAGTCAACCAATTTAACTTCAAGAAATCTTTTATTTGCTATAGAGTCTTGAAATTGTTGTTTTGTGACAGCATTTTCAGAAATTTGTTTTAGTATCTTTATAGTTTCATCAGCACTATATTTATTTGCATTTTCATCGAATATACCCGGTTTACTTTCCGTAGCAGAGTCAGTTACTCCAGTATCGTTTTTATTTTCGTCCCCAAATGGATGTGCGATTACGAAATTCAAAGGATTAATTGAAT